TATCCTATAATTTCCTGCTTTTCTTGGAGGGGAAAAACAACCCTCCTACTTCTGTCATTAATAGATAACACAAGATGTATAACTTATACATGGTTTGTTCTACTTCTGGTGAAAACCTCATATAGATTTCCCTTCAATGGAACAAGGTGTAACTAACAGTATGCCTCAATTCTTAACTGAGGGAACGTGTGACAACTAATTTACTGTATAGAGACAATTCTAGCAACAGCTAAAGGATCCATTTACTGCATGGTGACAGTGCTTGTCTGTGTCAGGAAAGTCACCACATGGCCTCTTCACCATGTACTCCTGAAAGGAGAGCTTTCTGCAGATTTTCAGTATGGCTTAGGGGAGCAGTAAGTTTCCAATGGCTCTTTTGGGTTTGAAAAATAATTTCTCTCGCAGGGAGAAGACTTGGATCTCCAACACCACTTCCTTCTGAAGCGCTCCAGTGTAAGCCAAGAAATGAGAAAACTCTCATTTTCTGGAAAGATGAATGCAGTTATAGTCACAAAGCTGTATGATAGAGCCATATCATCTTAGCCTTGGCTACTTTAATTACAGATGTTGTGGTTACTATTGTGTTTTTTTTCCTTTCCACATCAATTTTTCAAACTCAGTCTGATGTCTGTGTGCTTTGCAATTTTTCTGTGACCTGCTTCTAACTATTTGACTCAGTTCTAAATTAATCTGAACCTTATGCAGATGGTGGAATGGTTTTATTGCTTCCAGGTTAATATAAGTTAGCATTGTGGTCTGTAATAACAGAAGCATCCAACACTGCTATCTCAGCCTGACTCTGGAGACCAGTTAAGATTTAGAAAAACTTGAAGTGACTTAATGATTGTAAATTCCTGTTCTAGCCAGTAATAAGTCTGAAATTTGCAAACCTCTCTATTGTCCTTGTATGTATAGTAAAGCTATGGAAACTGTTTCTGAGTACAAAAGATTCAGGTGGATGCTCAGGAGTATAATACATAGTTGTAGGAGTTGTTTACAAGTTACTATAGGTGAGAAGCAAAATGTTTATCCTGTGTCTGGCTGATGGCCTGGTGCCTTGTGTGACTCTGCAGTGGAGTATAACAAGCATGACAGAGCAATGCTCTGCAGTTTGATGTTTTATTGGCTGGAAGCTCTTGTAATAGTGAAAAAGTATGTATTCAGTATATGATGTTTGGGTAGAATTGTGGCCTGCATGAAGTTAACTGTGCTTTGGCATAAGTAGGCACAATGAACATGCAATTCAAATGGCATTTTACTATGAATTGCCATAGATCATAGATCTTTCTATCAGTCTTTTTTTTTTTTTAAGGTACATAAGACCCTTTCAAACTGTGAACAACTAAATAAGTCTCATATTCAGTCACACATCATCAGAAAAGGAAAGTCTGCCTTTGAAATTTACCTCCTGGAAATGCTATGTTGAGTTTGCAGTGTAAGGTTTGATTCTTATTTTGTGACAACTGCTTGGCTTAAGATTTGATTCAAATTAAGTTTAGTTAGAATCATAGAATATCTTGAGCTGGTAAAGATCCCACAAGGATCATCAGGTCCAATTTCTGGCTCCACACAGGACTAACTAAAAATTTCCTATTAGAAAATGAATTACAGACAGCTTCAATGTGCTCAAGGTTTTTAAATGATGAGCTTACAAAAAAAAATAAAATCCAAGTATTTATCTGCAGCACATTATTCAGATATGCAATTGAATGGCTGTGAATATGGATACCTCTGCAGATCCAATTCTTGTGCTCCTTATTTTCTCTTCTCAATTTAGTCTCAGTAGCAGGTGGGGATGTTAATAACAAAATGCAGCATGGAAGTCTCAGGGCTAATGAAAGCCTATAATTGTGAATACAACACTTAAGCCCTTACACTTTAGTATATATTAGTCTACTTTGATTCCACCAGTAAAAACTTACTTCTTCATTGGGACAGATACAGCATGTGACACCGAGTGAGTAGGTATTAATTCCCTGGTGATGATTGTATAGGTATTCTTTCTTGTTTTCTTTAAGTAAAAGCTTCTAGACATCAGGACACAATGACTAGAACAATCTTCAAAAGAAGCAGAACCAAACTGTTAGAGGTTGATGCCTAGCCTCCCATTCTATAAGGAATTATTCCTGCAAAAAAAGAAAAATATTTCTTTGTGACTCTTCATGGTCTCACTATGCCTTCATATCTTCTCCATTTACCTTTCTTGTGGATTATATTCTATTAAAAGGTAGTAGGTGCTTCCTCTCTTAGAACTGAAAGTCCACACACCAGGTCTGGCATATGTCTGTAGTTTTAATTAAGTAACTGTCATGGAGCTTGACTATTGTGTATTTTGTCTTTTACAAAATACAGTGGAGCTATTGCTATTTCTGGACGTATTGGGTTGGGGTTTTACAGCAATTTGTTTTTTCTGGTCTTCTGGCTAAGTTTCATTTTGGCTGAATCACAGAATATAAATCTACACATGTTGGCCTGGTGTCAATGGTCAATTGATTTCTCACAGCTGTGAGGAAAGTATTTTAGTCAGAGGAGTTTCTACAGTCCTTAAAGAGAAATACATATCTGATTAAAAATACAATGCCAAAAAAAACCCCAAAGCAGCAAAAGTTATTTTTCAACAGCTGTGTGCAGAAATGAAACTTGGTTGGAACATCTGCAGCACCACATCACCTGCTCTGCAAGACTCTTGTTGAAGGCAATTAATTGTTAACTAGCAACGTGCCAACAGAGAGCCAAAGAAAGGATTGTTTGCTGAGCTAGTAGTTGTCCTTTGTAATCTATGTGATAGAGCAGATACAGTAACAGTGTCTGTATAAATATAGCAGGGCTGCTCTAAGAATGTAGGATACAGTACTTTCTCTAAAACTGTAGATATTCTGTTTCTTAAACACTTCATGCTAAAACATGAACAAATACTGAAGATGATAGGTTGGATTTGGTAAGACCTGAGAAAAAAAATTGTGCTTGTTATTTTCTAACATGCAGCATCAAACAAAACAAACTCGATAAAGGAAACATCTTGAAAATGACAGATCACTTTTTAAGATTTTGATTTTTTATAAGTTTTAGAGATTTTTAAAATCCTGAGGCAATATATTGATGTTACACTCCATTTTTGGAAACAGAACATACCAAAATAAAATGTTAATTAGCTGCATGTATTAGCTAAAGTATTGGAGTGGTCACTTTATGTAAGTGACTAGAAGCATAATTCACATTCTCTTATGCAGAAGTAGAGCAACTCAAGGTTTCCAGACGGAGGCATGAGGATAATAAAAATAAATTCATGCTTGCTGTTCAATTTCTTGCCACTTTTATTGTGTCTGAAGTACTGTCAGAAGTAAAATCGTGTTTTTATTTGCTGAGTCATCACACATGACTGACATAACATAGAATGATCTCTTCAATTTGAATAGATGACTGCTAACTCAGGGAAGATGTGTATAAGCCCTGCTATTGAAAGTTCCCTCCTAGTGCTCTCTGCCAGTAAAACTCATGTTTAGGAAGCTCAAGATATTTCAAACAGTGTTTGAACGGAGTGGGGTATACATAAAATACAGTGGAAGCAGTGCTTGCCTGTATGAGGCAGTGTGGAGAATTCACAGCATGTGCTGCCTTGGCAGTGGGGCATTGGATCACTTTAGTCATACAGTAAAAAATAGTAAATTAAAAGCAGGAGCTGATTAACTGTCAAGAAAAGGTGTCTAACTGTTGAGGCAGGCAGTGAGGGATGCTGCAGGGGAGCTGGAACTAAAACTTTAACAGCAAGGTGCCTCAGAGATGGTCAAAGATGAAGCCATATCTCAGTGCATCTGTAATGGAAAAGCTGTACTGTGGAAAATAGCACCCAATCCTGCATTGAAGATACGATGTCCTGGAGGGTGAAATGCATCTAACAGAAAGAAAAGATGGATCTCAGCCTGACAGAAAGGTCAAGGGAAATCCCCCAAAGGACCACATCAATGGATGTGATAGTGGTTTCAACAGCTCTCTTGAAATATAAGTTCAACATCTAAACCATTGTCAGTCATGGGGGATAAATATGAGAGAGAGATCTACAATGATAGCTGGTAAGCCTCTCTAAATAGGAGCCCAGCAATCAGTTGTTGTTTAACTTCAAGACAGATTTTTTTTTGTCATTTCAGAAGCTGATCAGACAAGATTCAGAGAGCCTACTGCTGTTAGACTTAAGTCCGTTCTGCCAAAGCCTAGCTAAAGATGTCTTAGTTCACAAACTGCTTTGTGATCTTAGTCTTTTGATCCAAAATGTTGTGGCAGATCACTATCACTAATGACATTCTTATTGCATTTCTTCTCTTTTGTGTAGCTACTTACCCATGAAGGGCCTAACTTTGTGAAATCCTTACATAAGACTTGAGCAGATTTTGCTTACATCAAATCTAAACTAAAACTTAAACCCGGATAGGATTTTTTTCCCTCCATACCCCACTTGAATTACATTGACACAGGGTTATTGAAAGAACACAAAATCAGCACAGCCACTGTGGTTTAATAAGGAGTATAAATGGAACACAGCCTGTTTTGCATTTCCAGAGCTACAAACGTGTATTTTGCTCACATTAAACGCTTGAAGGTTGCATTGGTCTTGCTATTACAAAATCAGATATGTTTACGGTAGCTTTAATATTAGTTAAAATTATTTTCTGTATACCTACTTATAACCTTTTTTATTTGTTTTATTCAGGAAAAAAATGCAAAAATAGAAGCATCTACGTGAGCCAAAAGATTTTTGTGGTGTAGTAGAAACTTCACTCTTATCTGAATCAATTGCTACAGAAACTCAGGCATCCTAATAAGGATCAAAAAGCATCAGATGAACAGAGCATCCTGAATTCCCAGAAAAGTTCAGAGCATTAGGGAGTCAAAATGTTAAACTGTCTCAAGCAGTTTTCTTCATGTGCCTTCTGAATTTTGTAAAGGTAGGACAGAAAAAAGGCAAGAGAGTTAACCTTCCATGTACTGGTACATCTTCACCCTAGGTGTTTGTGCCTTGAAGACATGGACTGATCAGATGTCTCAGAAGAGTATGAATTAACAGCCTGAATGCGTTCTGCCTGCAACCAATGAAGGTGCAGCATGTATTCCTTGTTACATCTGGGCACTGCCGTGCATTTTAGCACCCTGACATATCCTGTGGAAACATGGCTGTTTCTGGGAGGTTCTTTATCAGCATGATCTCCACATGTTAATTTCTTGTCTTTATTAATTTTAGTCTATAAATCTAAATATGATAAGTCCTAATGTTATTTTGGAACTTCACACACCTTTCTTTAACTGGCAGAAACATTTGTCTTCTGCTCACACGGTCTACTTCCTACATAGAGCTTTAATGGTTTCCCTGGGGGTGTGGAGATAAAACCTGAGTAAGGCAAATGAATTATTTTGCTAGGTAACATCATTTTAATGTGGAACTCGGGAGGAATGGCCAGGAAATTTACTTATGGTGAGTGGGTTGGAGGTAACAACTCTAAATGCTTGTGCAGATCAGGAATGGAGCAGACAATGCAGAAAAAATCTTCTTGGACATAATTAGATTACTTGAGATTGGTGACACGGTTAGCTCCTCTATAGAACATGAAGTATGCTTTAGATAATTAATGAATTAGATATTGGTTTTACTAGGAATGGCATGCTGATGTTGGTAACTATGTTTCTTGTCCTACAGTACAGCCATTTCACAAGACTTGCTCCCATTCCAGTTGCTGTGTTCTGCTCTGGTTTCACATCATGTGCAGATCTCCCAGCAGACTGACAGAAGCAGACGTGAATTCATGATGAGGAGCACGCAGCACGCTAGGTTAGTGCACCAACTGAGATGTAATCCAGAGAGCTGTTTTCCTTGCAATAGAGGAGGCTTCCTCAGATTGAAAAAAGAAAAGGGATAATCAACCTTTTATAAAAATTTTGGAAGCTTTATGTTGCAAACTGTGCTGGATTTCAGTCTTCACAAGGATCATCAGCTAGCAATTATTTTGTAAGCTCTTCAATTGTCAGATCAAATGGGAATCAGTGCAAGAGTACATAGTGAATAAAATATTTGTCTCTGCAGATTTATAATTTCAAATACTAAGCAAATCAGCAGTGATTAAATACCTTTTGCATCTGCCAGTCATCTTATTGACTGTTCTTTGGAGCAGTCCCCTTCAGCCTGGTACCATTAGTGTATTTGCATCAGAAAGCTATTCATGGTATGACTTACTCTACCTTGTGTTCTTTGTAGCATCAACGGAGTGACACTGTTCTGATACATTTAGCACTGACCAGTGTATTGGGCACACTATATAGAACTGTAAACTTCCCTGTTCATGAGGCAAAATTTATTTTTTCTAATTGAAAATAGAAGGCTGTTCCCTCCATGTATTGTATCATTAGTCACACATTTACTGCCCCTTAACTCTAAAAATGGATGGAAGCTATTTTTAGTAATGAGATGAGAATTCAGTATCACCTTTGATGTTTAAATGTGTCCTGTTGAGTCTGCTCAGCCTGGCTGGAATACAGAAAAAACAATGCCTGTTTTGATCCCTGTTGGAATGTAGATGAAATGTGGGGTAGGGGAGAATCTAAAAATTGAGTTTGATTTATATGAAGCCAAGTTGGGGAAAAATATGAATCTATTCTACCCTTAGTAGATACCAGCTGCATTAAAACCAAAGCAAAGTAACAAAGAAACAAAACCCTGATGCCTCCTAAATTCCCCCTCCCCACTCCCACACCTCCAAAAAAAAAAAAAAAAAAATCAAAGCAAAAACATGCACACACACAAAGAAATCCTCCCTTCCCCATCCCCTTGACAAAGCAAATCCACATACATATATATATATGAATTCTTCCATGTTAGCATAATGTTTTACCATAGTTCTACCATTGGCTGTTTTTCATTTCATTGTATACCAGACACCAGCACTCTGCATATGGGTATCAATTAGAAAAGAAAGGACTGTTAGATGTGTGAATGAAGATGACAGAGAATACAGTTAAGAACACTTGACAGAGTGTAGACTGAGGCCCAACACCCAGTCTTGAGGATGCATAATTTAAAAGCCAAAATAAAACTTCAGCCATAGCAGAAGTTTGAATCTTTGATGTACTTAGGCTACAAGTAGGGTATAATCAGGCTCATTTCTAAAATCAGGTAAAGTTAATACAAAAGCTGCCCGCAGGCATTTTTCAACAGGTCTTTAGTAAGCATTGGATGACAGTTTTTCTGACTGTGTGATAAACCATGGAGCTGTAAGGTAATGGGCAGAGCTCACAAGGAAGGGCTCGCTGTCTCTGGGACAGCATCCTCCAGAGTGCTTAAATTAATCCAGGGTCTAAGAGATATCAGTCCCAACTGCATCTCCAGGGGCTGCAGAACAAAATACTGATGATCATAGCTGCCACTGAGCACATGGATCTGAGGGAAGATTTGGAATGAAAATGTGAGCTATGTCTTGCCATTTTCCAGCTGTGGAGATGAATAATGGAATAGGCTAAACGAACCACAGGACTACGTATGTGTGAATAGATGATTAGAATGGGGGGAAAAAAAGATGACTGAAATATTTCATTCAATCTGAAGCAGAATGGTTTGTATTTTCTTATTTTTCTATTCTTTCTTCCATTTTACACTTATCCAGATCAAATTTTAAGCAAAATGCTGGTTAGAAATGCCTACATGGGTTGCTTCTACGTTTTTCCAGTGTGACTAGAAAGCACCCATAGCGTTTCCACACTTTCCAAATGTTCCCCCAACATTTCTTTATCCTGTTCTTATTACCCCTACCCTGCCTGCTCCCTCTCCCCCAGCTGCAGTTAATGTTATCCGCTTTCAGCGGGGCTCCTTTTTGATGTGCCACACCTGAGCTTGCAGGAAAGGAGGAGAAAGAAAAAAAAAAAAGGAAAAAAAAAAAAGGAAGAGAGTGCAGCAAACCAGGCTCCGGGCTGCCGCCTGAGCAAGCAGCGGGCACTGCAGCGCTGCAGGTGTGCGGGGAGCTGCGGGCCCTCCCCGAGCCGCATGCGGGGAGTGCGGGGTTCGGTGCCGCCCGGTGCTCGGCCCCGGCTGCTTCTCCGACGGGTGGGGGAGCGAGTAGCTGGGGATGCTCGGGCGGTGATGCCGGGAGGAGGGGGAGGAAGAAGAGGAGGAGAAGGGGGGAGCCGCTGGGACAGCCTGAAGTGGGCGGAGGGGAGAGGCGGGTGTTATACCGTCGCTCGGGGGAAGGCTGAGCATTTGCAAATTGCGGCTCCGAGGCTCGAGGAGCATCTTATCGCCGCCGGCCGGGCGGGCGGCAGCCGCAGCGTAGAACGAGGCTTCCCGGCTCCCCGATCTCCTCGCGCTGTCCCCGCCATCCCCGCCTCTGCCTCCGGCTTCTGTGCCCCCTTCTCCTGTGCAACAGAGAGGAGAACGGCAGCACGCGGAGGTGCGCTCGGAGCCGAGTGTCGGCTAGAGAGCCAGTCCCTCTCCCAACCGCGCAGGCATAAGCAGAGCCCTGGGTGAGTAGTATGGGAGATTCCCCGCTTCTCCAGGCAGGCCAGAACCGATCAGGCCCCCTTCAGCACATCCCTTTCTTCCTTTCTTGTCGTTCTTATGCCTGGAACGTGCAGGAGATCCCTGTCCTCTGTGAGGTTAGTCAAACTGGTGTACCTGCTTGGTGAAGGATTTTTGAAAGGTTTTACTACCCAGCCCTTAGAATAATGTTCTACTATGAACTGTCCCAACTTGAAAACCTTTTTACTTTCATGTACAAAAATTTCTTTTTTTTTTTTCATTAAAAAAAAAAAGTTTTTCATCTTTTACAACTTTTTTGGCCTTATGGAATTGCCCTGTTCACTTTCACGTGTAAATTTATGTAGGTAACACGTAATTTGAAGCTAATGATATGCTAAGGAGTTTCTTAGTCCTTGAATGTTGTTATTAACAAATGATATCTGCATATTTTTCTTTTGCTTTCTTTAGGCTGAACAGCCATGACAGCTGAAAAGACTATTCCTATAATTAACGGCAAGCCAGAAGATGTTTTGGATCCAGAAGCTTCAAGTACCAACCTCGTCCACAGCAATGATAAGAAAGTTCATGAAAGAGGTCACTGGAACAATAAGGTTGAATTTGTGCTTTCTGTGGCAGGGGAGATTATTGGGTTGGGAAATGTATGGAGATTCCCATATCTTTGCTACAAGAATGGAGGAGGTAAGACGGCGTCACGTGTTGATTTGCAGCTCACCGTAAACATCTGGGAAATAAACACTTAAAGGTGTTTTACAGTGATTTCTTGTACTAGTAAGAGGGGTTCAGGACTTAAACGTGTGTGTGTGTAGGTAGGTAGGGAAGTATTAAGCACCTGAGAACAAATAAAAAAAAATGTGATGTTTCCCTTACCTTCTTCTTCCCAAATACAATACGGTTTAATTTCTCAAGGTTTTTCTTTGGTTGTGCATTATTAATGTAATTACATATTATTGTTGTGTTTTTTTTTTTTTTTTTAAGGTAGAAGAAACCAGTTAGAATAGAACATTTTCTTGTGCATACAGAATCGAGCATACTCAACAAAGTTTGTCTGACATAGAGGAAAAAGTAGCAGTTTATTTTTCTGAATAGTACTTTGGGGAGGAAGAATATTGTTTCTGTAGATGCTATGGATTTTACTTTTCTCATGACAAAAAAAAAAAAAAAAAAATCCTTTAAGTCAAACACTTTTTTTAGTCATTACTTCCCCAGTGAATGCAGTAAGGGAGGGGAAGATACAAAGCTGACTGTTACTAAGCCAAGAGAGTAGGGTCTGTATAGCTTAAAATAAGACTGTAGAAGTCTATTCTTTTCTCTTTCAAATCACAGAAGTATAATGTATGATGTGTATTACTTATAGGCAGGTATCAGCTAGGTAAGATACGTGACAATTAAGAGTGAGCACGTCAGCCATGTCGCACACAGCAATGAAGGAAGAAAGATAAACGTTGAGTTTAGAATCCTGTGAGCTAGATTCAACATTCTCCCACTTAATGTCTGAATCAGCAGCCCTAGTGGAAATGTATATCCTGCTAGAACAGTGACACGCTCAGTGACTGATATATGCAAAGATCTGTTCTTAACAGGTTTGTTTGCTAACAGAGTGCTATGCCAGATTTCCTTCCCTAGTTTGCACAGAACTAGGTGAACTCAGGGGTGGTTTTGGCCATTTTGTCTGCTGTTTCTAAAGACTACTTCTGTGGTAGGTGTGTTACTAGTTTGCAGCTCCTCTTTAACACATTTGTACTGTGGCAAAACTAAGATGACAAGAATTCACTCGTTTTTAGCATGCTGCTGTACTTTTAGTCTCTAATCAATCTGTTGGATGATTTGCTGAACAGTTTCTTGTTGATACATAAAGTTTCCCCGAAGAACTTTTGGCAGAAAAAAAGATGAAAATATCTTGTCAGTGTATATTGAATATTTCCTGAAGCCTTTATATGCACATTGAATTCATGTTAGTATGTCAAAATACGATGCTATCATTTTTAAGGGCATAGCATTAGGTAACACACTCTTATCATGTATTTGGCTGACTTGTTGGCTTACTTAAGTATCATCATTAATCACTACAGCAGTCTTTAAGAGGACTGAATGCATGTGGTTTGATTGGCCATGTCCTGGTACCATGGGAAGTTTGCCATTAACTCCAATTTTCTTTGGTGAGGTCTCAGTCTACGACCTTTGGCTAACACCTCTGTTTCTGTAACTCTCTAGAATGCTGAACTAGAATTAGACTTGGGTCTCGTTTGTTGCACTGAATGTAAATACTGGGAAATACTTCATGTATAATATGTGATGATAATGAAGAGGTGTATGAGCTAGTTATGAAATAGAATGCCTGGTAGATACAGAACAAATTCAGAAGCAGCATGGATACTACAGATCTAAGCTCTCTCTGGCACTACCAACAGACAGTGTAGGCATAAGCTTTTATAATTCTAATTTGCTCTTATGGACACTTGCTATTTCTTTTTTTTTTTTTTTTTTTTTTTTTTTTTTTTTTTTTTTTTTTTTTTAGGATAAATAGTCTAATTATGTTTCTTGAATTAGATATTTCATGGAAACGAATCGGTTTGCAAGCAGGCAAACTTGGTATCCTCTGATTTTTCCTAATGGGTATCTGGTGTAAAGGAATTAAAAGAAAGTAAAATTCTAAGCCAGTATGATCAGTTTCATTAAATTGTTGTGTTAAACTCACTATGCTTGTCCATGTGAGTGAGCTAAACTTGTTTTCATGCTGGACAGCAGTTCTCAAATCATGGCCTGGAAGGATGTTGTTTTTCAAACTATGTGTATATGGAATCATATGTAAAAACCATCATTTTGGATGCCCAGGTTACATTCTTTGAAGTTTTCAAAGATATTGCTTGAGACACAGCTGAGATTCAACTATAAGTAAATTGGGTGGCTGAGCTAAGAGGTCACTCATGAAGACATCTCTGAATTAAGAACCTGCAAATCAAAGCAGGTGTATTGAGTTGATCTGCCTTTCTAATCAAAGTGACTGAAGCATTACAGTTACTGCAGATCGTGGGTATTTTTTCCCCATCTTTTTAATGATCCAGAGTATCTATTTGCCTTGTAATTGTAGAAATTTTCTGTAGGTATATTCAGAAACATTTTGTTTGTAGTGAGATTCTGATAGAAGTTTAGTATTACAGGTGTAGCTAATTAAGCGTTGTTCATTAATGATCAGATCAATCTTTAAGACTCCTGTTGAAATAGAAACGAAGAACTGATTGATGTATGCAGTTACTGCATCTATCAGAACTTTTGTGCAGTGCTTCACTGTGTTTGTCTGATTAAACCAGTCAAACTTTGTTTACTGGTGTCAGTAAAAATGGCCCAAATAGTTATTGTTTCCTTCTAGTATTTGTATTCTTCCTTTCTTGTTTCCACCTAAATCAGTTAGTTGCCTTCTATCTCATCCTTTGGTTTATTAGGAAATCTGAGTACCAGGGGAATGAAGGAAAAAGATTATTTTGGCCTTGTATGTTAATAGGGTCTCTGTATAGTGGAAAGGCTGTATTTCATTCCTGGTTATTTAGGTTTGGTTCTAAATTGAATACTTAAAATCTAGTGTATTAGCAAGTGACATTATGCCTAACAGGTATCTTCTGTCACTTCTTTGTTCATACTTCAGTCATGTTCTCTGGCTGCCATACCTAATAACATGGTTAATCATGAAATAATACAGAATTTCTGCTCTGTGTTAAGAAGAGAAGAATGGTATTTTGTTGAAAGCTTGAAGTTATACTGCTCACTATCTTTACTGGAGTTTACTGTCAGAATGTAAGAAAAAAAGCTGATGCTTTGTAAATTTCCTACAATTTCTAGATGACAATGCCAAGTCCTGTTTTCTTTCTCTGTGTAAGAAGTCCTAAGGTGTAATTTGTCATTCCCTTCTTACGATCCTCATCATTGGTCTTATCTAAGTAACATCAGAGTACTTGAATTTCATTTCCATAATGTTTCTTCATCCCTGCCTTTCTCCTGAGAAAAGAAGGGAAGAGAAGAGAGGGTAGAGTGATTTGATGATAATCAGATCAGAATGGTGTGGCGAAGCAAGAATGTGATCTTTCCTGTGTTTGAGAGAAAGTTCAGCAGAGTTTAGCCTATCCTGAAAAACTTCAGTATGCTTTGTGTTTTGACTGGGGATAGGGGTGGTTTTTGTATTGGTTCTTTGTTTTGAGTACACAATAATGGCTTAAAAGTTAACTTTTAAATATTTGGTGCCAGAAGTAAACACTTTTTGCACTTCTAACACAGCACCTAGAATTAGTTAAGAGAATGAAAATAAGTTTTTCACTAAGCTGTCAAGGAACTGTGTTCGTTGTAACCAATACCACCACGATGTTTACTCGTAGGTGCTTTCCTCATCCCATATGTGGTTTTCTTTATTTGCTGTGGGATACCAGTTTTTTTCCTGGAGACAGCCTTGGGACAGTTTACTAGTGAAGGAGGCATTACGTGCTGGAGGAAAGTTTGCCCTTTGTTTGAAGGTAACAACCTTTTCTGTGTTCTACCGCATTAAATTTTAAATGAAGGAAAAAATCTTACCAAAGTTAGGATGTACTTACAGTAGTAAGCATTTGTTCTTAAATTATCTGAAAAGTAAAAATTCTTTGTTCTCTCTTCCTCCTCTCCAGGCATTGGATATGCTACCCAAGTTATAGAGGCACATCTAAATGTATATTACATCATTATTTTAGCATGGGCTATCTTCTATCTGTTTAACTGCTTTACTACAGAGCTTCCCTGGGCTACATGTGGGCACGAATGGAATACAGGTATGACCTTGGTAGAAATATTTGCTGTACAAATAATGACTTCCAAGGAATAAAATGAATTAGTGTCGAGAACAGAACTATTGTGGTAGAAAAGTCTGTGGGAATGGGCTGATCATGTCAAACTGTGATAAAATGAATCACAGAATTGTAGGGGTTGGAAGGGATGTCTAGAGATCTAGTCCAACCCCCCCTGCCAAAGCAGGCTCCCTAGACCAGGTGGCACAGGTTGTGCAATGAAGACTTATTCATACCTTTCTGATTTAGGTCATTGTATAAGCATTTGTTCCTGTGAAATATAATGTCAGATGGGAAAAGAAGGCTTTGGCCTTTGTTATTTCTGTAAAATATTCTGGCTAAATCCCAGGACTCTCATTTTCAATCGTATCCATTCTCCCAGAATACAGTAAGTGAATTCAACAGAAGAGCTCTTCTTTTTCTATTTTAGATACAAGTTAAAGAGTGACTTTCCACTTGCTCTATTAAAACAAAGTGGAGACTTGTTGCTGGTTGTTTCATCAGCCAATTGTTGCCATTGGCCATTGAACAACCACTTGAAGAATTATGTTGTAGTTCCCGAACGATTGCCTCGATTTCTCAAAGCTTCTTCATTTAGCCTCAGATGTTTAATTGGCCCTTAACATTGCCAAAGTGCATTTAGAAAGTGTAGGAGTGTGTAGCATACTGCGTGGATATTTTCCTAGCTTAGGCCTCTGATCTGGTGATCAAAATACTATTACAGAAGTAGCAGCTGTAGGATTTTAGAATATCTAGAAATCCTTTTAACCACATAGAGTATGATATAGTAAGTGGCTTTACAAGATGCACAAACTAGAAGATGGACCAGAAGAAATGTATGTACATGTCAATATAACAATTTTGTTGTTGTTTTTATAGAAAACTGTGTGGAATTTCAAAAACTTAATATGAGCAACTGCAGTCAAATCTCTTTGCAAAATGCTACATCTCCGGTGATGGAATTCTGGGAGTAAGTGCACATAAACAATCTGCTTGATCTGGCTGTTCGTTATCTTCCAATATTTTTATTGTCTACAGGTTATTAGGTATTTTATAAACTGATAGCACTTACTGATATGAGTTCAGTTGGAAATTTTCTCATATAGTCAAAAGATTCAAGATGAGTGGTTTAACTCTTTTTAGAGGATTCAAGGAAAAGAATTCCATATTCTGAAAGAACATAGAACAAAGTGTGCCACTTACTTGGGATCTTGGCTCCTGCTGCTGGAGGAAAGAACCTCAAATACATACTAATGAGGCAGAGGTGAAAGAGGATGATTTTAAGTGTTTCTTGTTGTTTGATGGTGGTAGTTTTGTTGGGTTTTTTTTTGTCTATTTGTTTTCCGAGGGTGTTTACTCTCTTTTCTTCCATCACAGTTGCATCTTCATCTGAGCTAACTATTATTTTGGAGTTCATATATCATTATATTTGAATGGTCTGTGTTAGTTTTTCAGTTGGAAAGCTTAACACTCTTGAGTCTCCTTGACTCTGGTTTCTAGTTAGAGTGATAGAAGAGAATTCTCTCTTCACAAAATACGGACTGCTTTTGTGATGACACATTTTTTTCTTACTATAAATATTTAATTAGTACAAGTGTAGTTGCATACTTGTTCTTTGCAAGGCACGGTTTGTATTAAAACAGTCACAGAATTGGGATATTACTTTAATGTTAAAGTAGCTCTTCTTAACTTAAAGGAGTGTATTACAGAGTTTCTGGTTACTAAATGTTCTTGAGAGCCCATTCTAATTACCAGTTTATTATTTGGAAGAGCATTATTGTGGGACTGTGGTTAGAGTTGTTTTTCCCAAACTGCAGTAGTTACCTTTGACAGGGCTATAACTTAGGACTGTTCTCCAAGGGAGAACTCTGCATTTGACATCATTTTCTTGAACATTAGCATACGCTATTGTCTTTGCCTCTGGTCCCCTTAGTTTTGCTAAATAAGTTATCTTAGTCTTAGCAGTTGGTACTTATTGTTTCAGTAAGTAATGTATTAAAACAATATTAAATCTGTACAAGTCTTCATGTTTCTTTTCTGTTAAAATCACAATAACCTAAGCACTCAGTCTGTTAAATTAGAATATGCCTACTCTATCCACTTCCCAGGTAATCTTTTATAATAAAGAGGATTTTCTTATGTGGCACCTCTTATTTCTGTGACTTCATTTTAACACAAATTATGGTTCTTTAGGACAGCTGAAACTGAACTATTTAAAAAAAAAAAAAATTGAAGGGGCATAGTTAGAGAAAATGAACAAAGTATTTTCTCCAGTACTAGCCTTATTTGTTCACTGTTTTTATTTACTTATTCAATTATATTCAAAATTTGGCAACTGAACGTATCTCCAGCTATCTAGGGAAGCAGGCAATGTTCAATTGATTTCTAAGGAGGGCACAAACTAAGTTTTATCTCCCTGTGTGTCCAGGTATTCTGTTTGCTGTTGTTTTTTGTTTGGTATTTTTGTAGTATGGTTTTGGGGAGATTGTCTGATTTTTCGATGTCAAAGTTATTGCAACCTACATACAGGAGCATTTCAAATGCATTCTTTCTCAGAATTCTCAAAAAATGAATCTGGAAAAGATTCTGTAGCTGAACTTGGATTCCTTTTACAGTGCATTTTGAATCCTTCAAGTTCTGCGTGTATTTGACTACCTGATTTAGGCTGAGTTAGGGATGAGTTATGAAACCATGAAGACTGATAATCAGATAAACTTTTTCTCTAATTTCTGTTACAATCGTGTATGAAAATGCACATTCCAGACATTCTAAAGTTATATATAAAAAAAAAAAAGACCCTCCAAACCACTTCTTGTTATTTATTACTGACCAAAGTAGCTTATGATATTAAACTTTTCTGCTTCTGGTGCCCAAGCAAAAGTGGCGCTTGACTTTCTATCCTTGAAAACTGAATATATCTACAGCTAGGTCAGGTTGCTCAAAGTCCTGCCTGATCTTGAATGTGTCCAGGGGCAGAGCATCCACTGTCTCTCTGGGCAACCTGTGCATCACTGCATTTACTGTGTCTAGAAAAATGAACAAAAAATAGCCCACCTTCTTCCTTATATCCAATCTAGATCTTTCCTCTTAGTTTGAAACCGTGTCCTCTTTTTCTGTCACAGCAGACCTTGCTAAAGGGTCTCTCCTTTCTTGCAGCCCTACCTTCCCTCCTTCCCCCCCCTGGCCTTTGGCTACTGAAAGGCTGTTCTCAGCTCTCCCTGGAGCCTTCTCATCTCCTGGCTGAACAGCCCTAGCTCCCTCAGCTCAGCCTCACGGGGGAGTTGTTCCATCCCTTGGATTATTTTCATGGTCCTCCTCTGGACTCCCTCCACCAGGTCTGTTTCTCATGTATTGAGGACTCCATACCTGGACACAGTACAGGTGAAATCTAACAAGAGCAGAGAAGAGGGACAGGATCACCTCTGTCATTCAGCTGGTCATACTTCTTTTCATGCAATTGGCTTTGTGGGCTTTGAGGACATATTGCTGGCTCATGTCCAACTTCCCATCCATCCACCGGTACCCCCAAGTCTGTTTCAGCAGAGCTGTGCTCTATCCTTACATCTCCCAGCTTCAATTGATAGCAGGGGTTGCCATAATCCAAGTGCAAACCTTGTACTTGGCTTTATTGAATCTCATGAGGTTCACCTGGGCCCATTGCTCAGCCTGCCTAGATCTCTCTGGATGGCATCCTGTCCCTCAGGCTTGTTGACTGCACCACACAGCTTGGTGGCATCTGCAAACTGCCGGGGGTGCACTCGATCCTGCTGTCAGTGTCATTGTTGAAGTTGGTAAAGCGTACCGATCCCAGTACTGACCCCCACTTATCACTAATCTCCATTCAGACAATGAACCACTGCCCACCACTGTAGGTACAATCTTGCAACCGGTTCTTCATCCATCAAACATTCCATCTATCAAACTCATATCTTCCTAAACTGGAGAGAAAGATGTTGTGTGGGATCACATGAAAGGCCTTCACTGAAGTTCTGTTACGCTATCACAAAAGGCCACTAAGTTGATCAGGCATGACTTGCCCTTGTTGAAGCCATGGTGGTTGTCTTGTACCACCTCCCTCTGTTCCCTATCTTCCATGATAATTCCCTTGTTAAAATTTAAGAAGGTACACTGTTGCATGGGTTCCAAATTCAGAATGGATATGACAAACTAGTTGAGAAGTGGAAGAACAAACTTCAAATATTGGGATTGGCTTTGCATTAAAATGACCATCTGGAATTAAATTCTGTAATTTAGATCCATCAGGTACAGTAGAGCTCTGTGCTTAAACACATACAGTGCAGATCACAGAGTAGTTAATATGTAATAAATATATTACTGGACTAGTTAATTTGTGCAGTAAGTAAAGCTGCAGATAACTATTTCCAGAATTGTTATTTTACTTAGCTAAAAATCTTGTTCACATGATATTATTTCACTCCTTTATAAATGCTACTGTCAATAATCAAAGTTTATTGAAAGATTTTTCTAAAAACAAAGTTAAAAGAAAGTTGATGGGCTAAACAGGGCAGATGCTAGCTGCTAATTTCAGAACTCAGAGATAGTGATGAAGCTTTTCACACTGCAATAACCAATCACAGGACTGAATTGATTTGTATAATGACCAGGTTTCTTACAATTATATTCCATGATGCTCATGAAGGATGAGGGAGGCACTAGTTTTCTTCTGAACGACATCACTATTCAGATCCTGCTGTGCATTTTGCTTTTTGCAGTGTTCTCTAAGTTATGGTCACGGTAAATGCAATTTATTGTGGAAAGGGCTAGATGGGGTAAAAAGTTCTTTGAACTATTAGCATCTGCTCTTGAGACAATTTATGAATCAGAGTGGTAATTATTGTGAGTAGTCATCTAATTTCAAGAAGAATCAAATAGTGCATTTGTTAATTGTCAAGCTGATGTTAAGTATTTCCTTTGATAAGCATATAACTTCACCACAGTCTTCAATTGTCTTCGCAGTATCTTTAGGCATTTTAATTTAAAAACTAACAAAACAAACAAACAAAAGCAAAAAGTACCCCTTCATTCTTGGAGATTGGAGAGGAAGAAACCCATGAAATGCATGAGTTATCAGTGCCATGTGTTTTCTTCAGGCCAATTGCTCTAAGAGTTAATCATGATGAGGAATACACCGGTTGCTATGTATTGCACAGCAGACTAGACTGGCATTCTGTAAATGCCAGCAGAGGTTAGTAGCGGGGCACAAGCTCGATTTGTGTGTGCATAAATGAATGCACAAATCCCAAAAGGGATGTCTCAAGGGTGTCTTTGGAAAGGAGTATGTTTTTTATTCTCTCCTTCCTTTAGCTAGTACTGTTATGTCCTTTCCATCCCTTAGACTGGAAGTCCCAGCCCTTTTTATTTGTGATGGGAAGCAAACTCAAATCCATGGATGTTTTGAGGACTGCAAGTAAAGATTTCAGCCTCTCTGCTGAAATGTTTCTAGCTTTTATTACTTCTGTGGACTTGGCCATTCCTAAAACTATCACTGCAGTCAAACAGGCAACTTGTTCAAAGGCAGCAAAAACTAAGAGAATGTTTTGCAGTACTACAAGGCTACAAAGGCGTGTGGGCTAACAGTTAACTTTCTTCAGGTCTGTACAAAGGATACTGTCTCCTTGTTACTCTAGCAGCTATAGAGCTATACAGTTACTTCCTCTGATAATTTAATGTTCTCTACCAGCTTTGATGTCTGGGTCGTGCAGTAGATGAAAGCTTAATTAATGTCTTGGATGGACACTGCTTGTTTACTTACAAAAAAAAAAAAAAAAAAAGCACACCAGTCTGTAGAGATAAGTATTGCAGTACGTCCTAGGTAATAAGAGCAAGGATTGTTATCTTTTTTTTTAACAGGGTAACTGATAATTACTTGTAGTTATGTGGCCGTAATGTCCTGATGCTGCTGAAGGAGCAGCATGCAAAGTCTGGGGGGTTAGATTCACTTTACTTGCT